ACTAAATTACGAAAAAATCGTTTTTGTTTGGGAATTACAGCCACCCCTTCCTTTTAAATATTTTTACATAAAAAATATGTAATTCGGTTATTTATCGAACTAAATTAGGGGTGAGTTCGGGACGGGATTTCGGGAATTCGGGATTTTCGGGATCGGGATTTCGGGATTCGGGATAGAAATTTTAAATCCCAATCCCGTCCCATAATATTAAATCCCGGTAATATCGGTATCCCTAAATATTTCGGGAATTCGGGATTGGGATCGGGAATCCCATATTTTGGCTAAAAACTAAGAAATATATATATATTTTTTTCATTAATATTATTTTATACATGAAACCAACTTGAATATATTATATAAATACTATTATTATTGCACTATTTATTTTTACCACAAAACTTGGAACAAATGAAATTTGAAAAATTTAATAAGTTGAAACGATATATTATATTGTATTTCTCATCTCCTTGATATATATATATATATATATATATATATATATATATATATATATATATATATATATATATATATATATATATATATATATATATGTGTGTGTGTGTGTGTGTGTGTGTATGTGTGTGTGTGTGTGTTTATTAGTTTTTTTTTTCTTTTTTCCTAATTCGGGATTAAAATATCCCGATCGGGATTGAACCAATTCCCGAATCCCGATCCCGTATTTGTTCCTAATCCCAATCCCGAATCCCGTAATCCCGAATTCCCGAAGTTTTAATCCCAAATAGTAAAATTCTAATCGGGACGGGACGGGATCCCGAATCCCGATCCCAAAGTCCCAGCCCTAAACTAAATCGTATATTCAGTTCGGTAAACGGTATGAAATGTTGGCGTACCAAAATTTCGTTTCGGTTTTTACCGATTTAACATTCCTAAATTTGTCTCTGGAGGGGTATTTTCGTAAGATAATTCATAGTTGATGGGTGACTGTAATTATCCAAACAAGAGAGGAGTTTCGTGATTTAACCATAACCCAGGGAGATGGCCGTAATTTGCCCTTAAATATTATTTAAGCGTTAACCATCTAGTGAACCCAATTTGACCATAAGAAATTGAATTTGTTTAAGTGAAAAATTCGAATTTTTGTCGAGCCAGGTTATCGAGCTCATGATCCCGACCCAACTCGTTCACAACCCTAGAAGAAAAGCCCAAACTATTAGCCCTAGACCTAATTCTTCATTATAAATACTTTATTCCCTTTACAGAAAAAAACACCCAAATTCTTCTTTCATTTTTAATTAGGTTAAGATTTGATTCTTCCGGCGGCCACTTCAAGATCGGTTCATATCAAGGTAATTTCAGATCCAACTTCCAATTAAATCGATTTGCCTGAGTAAATTTGTTCTGTTCTGGTTTAATATTCGATGGTTTGATTCATTTATTAATCTGATCGCCTTATTACATAGATCCATTTTCTATTTAATTTGATATGAAATTCGAGTAGATTATCATTTGAAATTATATACTGCATAGAAATGGAGTATTAACTTGCAAATAGTTGATGCCTGTGGCAAATTATTGATTTTTACTGCTTGAATTCTTAAATTAGGTTGATTATTTCAATAATTGAGGTTTGATTTTGCAGTAGTAATCTATGATTTAGCAAACTTAGGGTTTTTATAATTTCAACTATAGGGGGTTTCCAGATTAGGATGTTTTCTAACTTAAGTAAGCTTAAGCTAGCTGAATAATAAGTATTAGCTTCTAATTATTTAATTAAGCATGATAATTCTTTATACTAACTTGTGTTTCTATCGTATCGTCCTCAGGCATTTTTGCAGTCGAGATCAACGTCGAAGCGTTTGCAAGTTCTTTGTAGATATTAAAGACATTGACTCCTTGGCAAGTCGGGCCCACACATATGACATAAACTGTCCGATGTAATTGGCAAAGTCTTCGATTTGTTGCCTCTTGCGACATATTCTTTCGGCTTTTAGTGACAAGCACTCTGGTTCCCACGTGTCTTCGTCGGGACCTTTCGAACATATTTTTGTAAACTTTATGTCGGAATATGTTTATGGTGCTGAAGAAGACATTTGGGAATCTGTGCGCTTGTTGGTAAAAGCTCAAGAGTGTGTCTCTATTGGCAACAAATAAGAGATTTTGTTTGCGGGTTTGGCTTGCCAAGGCGTAAGTGACTTAAAATCTAACATTATTCATCGCCGCAATCGTGTTTGCTCCCTTATTATTTACCATCTAATGAATTCCGAAGTTGGATCTGCCTGGTGTTGAATAGCATATCCTTCTATTAATGATATTGGTTATGTTTCGATTAGACTATATAAATGTAATTTTTGAGTTCAGATTGCTTATAGGTTGATTCATTTATAAATTAATTTGATGAGAAATTTTGAGTCGAATGCAGTTTGTATTTGACGAAAGCCGGTTAAGTCGAGCTGGCCAATGAGACTGGGTTAGATGTTTGATGAGGGCTGCTACATCTATTGTCATGTAAGTTTTCATATATATATATATATATATATATATATATATATATATATATATATATATATATATATATATATATATATATATATATATATATATATATATATATATTCTTGCAAAAGCCTAATTATGTGTTGTATATTTTATGATTTTTAGTTGATCTAACTAGTTAATAAATAGCCGGTTCAGTCGATAGATGAAATGCTGAGTCGAGATGCAAGTCTGTATCCAATCGGTTATCCAAGGAATGCATCAAAATCAACCCGGAAGATATGCAAAGTCAAATTCGATGATGCGTATGCTCGACTTCATTATCATGTATGCGTGTGTTTGTGCTGGGTTTGTAAAACCAGATATGGCTCA